TAATAATAATAGCAATAATAATAATAGTAATAATAATAGCAATAATAGGTCTGTCAAACCAGTTTTCAGCTGGGAACTGATTTGTCTAGTATTGCCATCAAATATAATAATAAGATTAATACAGACAGTTCAAAATTCCTGGTTTCTTCTTCCGTTTACTGCAAGAATACAAAATGTGTGCTTCCATTTTGCAGTCATCAAATTTTTTTTGACTGTGTACTGTTTCTTTGAATGATGAGATTCCTATTGGAGCACGAGCACTACATGCTTTGCTTTCAAGTTTTGTGTGGACACATTTCATGAGTGAAACAGTATAACTGTCTAAATTAAGAGCTCAAACATACCTTACAACACTTAAACGTATAATCTTAGCAGAAACTCGATCCAAGGCTTTACCCAATACTTCTTTTTCATGCCTCGCAAAATTGCACTGTTTTGCAAAGTATTTATACTCCTAACGTTTAAACAAAATGGAAGGTTGCGTTTTGCGTTCTGTGCAATTGAAATGCGTAGCGTGTTTAATGTTCAGCTGATTATCTCTCTCAGTAAAATAAATGTTTGTTTATTCTCCGGATTCTGATCATTTTCCCTTTATTCATCTAAGCATTCATAGGTATAACAGTAAGGCTGTGACTCAAGTATTTGTGTCGCCAACATAACTTGGTTTAATTTGTTTGTGTTTTGTGTGAATAATGAAAGGCCAGTGTTTTTATTAATCAATCGATAAGATTTCACGTCTGGAAACACGTTGAATATATATTAATTAAATGGTGTCAGGGAAATTGAGCTCACATCCACTTCAATTTAGTACCACGCCAAACATTCGCATCATTGAAAATAGAACCATTTCATGGACGTTGGACCACCATTTATTGCTTATACCTAGTTAAATTTACGTGCTATTGATCAATATCTAGGTGCAAGTTTATTTTCGAATAAAGAGATGTTTATATCATTGACTGCAACTCCAATCATTCTGGTCACTTGAGGATTTCTCATACATAAATGAGCCCAATTTGTGAAGAATACAAGTAGATGACTTCAATCCTAGATAAACATGAGGCAGCCGGTTATCATACAGATAGAAAGTATTTACTATCCCATTTTGGCAATTGTTGGTGTTCCTGGTAAGCTTCTTATAATCATTTTTTATTCATTATTATTTATGTAAAAATGTATCATTATTCTTATTATCCGCAATATCGTTTGCTCATCTTGGTGTGTTTATTGAGCGAGGAAATAACATCATCAACCAAATAATAGGAATGTTATGTATGTTGAATACTTTTCCGAATGGGTTTTTTTTAGAGTCAGAATAACTTGATTTATGCATTTAAGCTGAGTTTAATATCCTTTATGGAGATGCTTTCACTTTCAGAAATAAAATTTGAGGCTTTCCTAATGCTTGTAACCAAGCTGCAAAAAACTGTTATCATTATGATGATGTGTCAGCATATATGGAGATACAGAAACAACATCAGTTTAAGAATTATTATTCTATTAAACACGATTGCGCCTTTGCTTTGCTGCTGCTTGATACGCCTTGTACTTGTGGCATTTTAAGCTATTAAACGAATCTATTTTGATCGATGTGAAAATCCTTTCTCTATTACTTTAAAGTAATTTTGAAAAGACCTTTCGTATTATCCTTAATCATTTCCTTTTTGAAATGGGAATTACATTCTGCTTATTCAGGAACTAACAAATGTTCAGTCCTGCTGACTATTGACTTTCTAACTAAAATTCTTGTTTAAATTTTATGCCACTAAGTTTATTTTATAACATACAGATTATTGTTTGTTTCCAATACACCTAGCATAATGGTGCCAACTTAACTTGTATCTCATTATGCAGTGAGTTTCTACTACATACACAAAATAAGTTAACAATGTTCAATTTTTCGCAATAGATATGATGCTGAATTCTTGATGTCAGTCTAAGATTTAAGTTTGCCACACTTTGAAAATCCGTTCAAAGCCTTTTCTGATATTGAGACGAGTGATTGTTATTGTGTCTGAAAGCTGTTCTAGCAGAGGCTTTGAGCAGGTTTTACATGCATTTTCTTTCTTTGAATTTCTTTTGCGTGGCAATTTACACCCAAATACTTCTCTCCGTCAACTTCCTGTGTATCTATGTGCCCAGATACAAATGTTCATCCATATTGTCTGATGTCTGCTTTTCGAGCAGGATGCTAAGATTTCTTTTCTCCCAACAAGTTTGCAATGTTAGATGTATCGGCTTGGTCTTCATTGTCTTTTTAATTGTCGAATGCTCATTCAGGCACTGAACAACAGTGTGTTTAAAGATATGATCCTTGTAGAATTCGTGATGTATCCCCTTTGATCTTTGCAAATTCAAGAAATCTGCTTTGTCTTAACACTCTCTGTGGTTTGCAAATTCCATCAGGCCTAGCACTGGAAAAAAACTCAATCGTTTTAAACCCCTTGACCTCTTCAAATATAACACAATATTCTGAACCTTTGTTTTTTTTCTTACCTTTGCAAAATTATTCTATATTGTGTGTAGGTAGTTTAATAATCCAGTTGATGAAATCCAAAATTCTAGCTGAACTCATTATTTGCTTTACTATTTCCACTGACACACGTGTAAAAATTTAGTTGTGCACAATTTCACTAGCAAAATTCAAGTCGATCAATTAATTGTCATTCTCTTCACATAAGAAACTGTTCAATTTCGTATTGAATTCTTTGCAGCGAATGTGGTGACGCTTGTGATTCTCTCCCGTGGACGGTGTGAACTTTCAAAATGCATCACCCAATATCTTCTGGCCATGGCAGCAGCGGATCTGGCTTTCCTGATATTTGATGTAATACTTTATGAGATTAATGATTCACATTTTCCATATTCGGTACTCAACTATACTCCAGCATGTCGTCTTATTCTCACATTGAATTTTGCTTCTGTTCACTGCTCTGTGTGGTTAACTGTAGCATTCACCTTCGACAGATTTGTCGCAATCTGCTGTCAGAATCTACGCACAAAATATTGCACATCAAAAACATCAATTGTGATCATTACAGCTGTGTGCCTTTTGGGGAGTTTACAAAGTGTTCCTTTTTATTTTATATATATGCCCCGTGATATAGTTGATAATCTACCGTGGTCTTGTGCTGTAAAAACAAGCTTTTATACGTTACCCATATGGATCGCATTTTTGTGGGTGGAAGTATTTTTTACCCCATTTCTTCCATTTAGTTTAATACTTTTCTTGAATGTACTGACGATCAAGTACATTGTGCAAGCTAACAGAGTGAGAAGAGGACTCCTCAGAATCGGTAGTGCAAAGAAGGACAAGGATCCAGAGATCGTGAACCGAAGAAAATCAATGATTTTACTGCTAGCCATATCAGGAAATTTTATAATTTTATGGTTCGTAAATTTTGTATCTTATGTTTATTCACAATTTACAGACACACAGTTTTTAGAAGCAAATTTCAACGATCCATTTACTATCCTCGAGCAAACCGGATATATACTTCGGACTATCAGTTGTTGCGTTAACACTTTCATTTATGCAGTTTCACCGCGTAAGTTTCGAGAGGAGTTTAAAAATATGATTAAATGTCCCCCGACTGTATTAGTAAAATTATTGAAGTAAGTAAATCAACTTACATTAGGTAAATTATTCTGTGAAAAATACAAAAAAGGTTATCAAATTGGTTGTGTGATACTCCTTGAAATATGGAAAATTATTTGTCTCATCAATATTCACCTACAATGAAATATACATGCTAAAAAGGTCAAACCGGATTTAAGTTCATAGTAACGAAAAACGTTGATATAATTTACCATCTGCCATCAGCTAAAATTAAAGCAACATTCATTATATATGTGCTGCCAATTGTATATTTCCAAGTGTTGCAGAAAGAGGACACTTCTTTTGCAGCTGACAAGCTGACACTTGTGGTTCTCACCCATAGACATGGCGAATATTTCAAATTCAGAAAGCAAACAATTAAGGAAGACAAGTGTCCATTTAGATATCTCACACTCACGAGAAGAATGTTTTGGTCTACACGCGCCTGTTTGCTTCTTCTGGTCTCATTCCTTTAGCACAGATCGAGACATTCCAAATTAGTAACAAAAGAAGAAGATAATGTTACTTAGAATAATGAATGGTTAAAAAGAAATATGAATGGACCTACTGCTATCAGAACGATATAATTCTTGTAGTAAAATGAAACTGCATTTCATGCACAAGGTAATTCCTAAGCATTCATATCGGAGGAAGGAATGTTGGGTAAATTAATAAGTTGATGCTTGTGCCTTCATTACATTCAATTCGAGGGAGGTTGGAGTAAATTGTCACTGATAGTGGACAACATAGAAATCCTGCCCCCAATCATTCTGTCGTTGAATCATTAGAGATGCACATTTGCAGATGCACATCACAGTCTTGCTGATGAGATTTGTCTCAATCAGATTCAAATTGTTGAATGTTATGATGAAATGATATCATGTTAGTGTGCAAAGAAGATTTTGCTGTACCTCTGCGATTTAAATATTCACCTGATCGATGAATTGATGATTAACATAGCGACTACATATTTTCCGTTTCCTTCTTGACTGAAAATTCTCAAATCTTAGACTGTCAATCACAAAACACTAGAATGTAGATCGTGCAAGTATAAGAAATAATAACAGAATACTATCAATCACCATGAGGAGAATTGAACTGAACAACCAGAAGGCTATGCTTCAGGTAATGCAATGGTGGGACCACATCGGGAGTAATGTATACTTTATTGTTCATGTTATTTGTGGAAATATGTAAATACAATTGAATGGTTGAAAAAAAAATAGTTCATTTAACTAACACCTGGAATTGACGGGCTATCTTAAGATGAAAAATTGGAAGAACCATGATTTCATCAGATGGTTTTAGGAAAGTAAGAAACGAACTGTTCGATACTGACAAATTCCTTGGCGGTTTTGAAAGAGTAGCTCGGGCGAGACTGCTTTCTATGGCGGAGTACTGGGGTTATTATTGCATTCAAAGTAGTTGCAAATTTAGTCTCTCTCTCTCACTCACTCTCACTCTGTCTCTCTCTCTCTCTCTCTCTCACATACACACACACACGTACACAAAATCAAGACCCTGCTTTCTTCTAATCTTGTTACAATAGATTCCCTTCGAACTTGATGATTATGCACATTTCAAAATGTCAGTATTTCATAGACTTTCGCTTGCATTATCCTGATTATCTCTCATGTTTCACTCTCCTTCTCTTCGACTATGACACCTGCATCGTCCCTTTCAATTTTTCAATACAGAAACAACTTATTCTTTAAGAACTCAAACCATATTCCCCTCGTCCACACATAAGTGACCTTGTACACATTTGATGGGCCCTAAGGTTGGTTAACATTCACATTGCTCTTAATATACGGATAAAGTACCTTTAGTTTGTCTTTGATAGTACCTGTTGGTACACTTATTTTTCGATCACCACTTGGTTTTCACGTTTCCTTTCATTTACACTAATTGTCTTTTCTCTATACTTCTCTTGGCATTAAACAGTACTCAATTTCATGACTTTCGTAAATGTTCTTTTTTATTTCCTGTTTGCGTTAACTCGTGCTTCTGCATAAGAAAAGGGCTGTAGATTTGGTAGTGCGTGTATTGCATTCTGTTTCTTTACAGTTATGTGTCTACTAACCAAAGCAGCTTCTTTTTTTTTCTTTTTCTTTTTGACTCCGCCTTTTCCATTTCATCTTTCAGTTTCACAAGACTGTCTATTCCAGTGCAACGTTAGTCCTCATGTATTGTGTCTCTTTCCTACAACTATGTTAAGTTTAACAGCATTACGCTCACGATATTTATAATATTGATCTAGTGCTTCTTCGCCCACTTCATTTTATATGGTCATAATTAACTATAATTCTACACATGTATAAATGAGTGAAGACTTCAACTATGTCAATATT